ATATGTATATTTTAGAAAGATGTTACAACAATCCTAAATGTGGGTAATGTACTTCAACCTACAGATGAAAAGAGTATGGAGTGACTTGTTATAGCTCAGACTGTAAATAAACACAAAGCCCAGAACCCCCGGTTCCCATACTCCACTCTAGTCATTAGCAGTAATGCTTTATTCACTTGAGGATTACTAGAAACAAGACAATATAGGCTAGTTGGTATTCTACACTTTCACTTACCTCCTGGCTTGTTTTCTGGCCTGCCTTCATGTAGAAAATGAAAACAGTATCAAAAGGACGACATGGTAGTAAATCCAAGTAGCCAAGGTCATCAAAAAACCCAGGAAGAGCAGAGTCAAGTGCAATCAGGTGAGGAGGTAGACGACTGTTAGCAGGTTCCTATCCAATACAAAGTTCAACAGCTTAAAAAAAACATCTTTCCTAACTGAAAAAGTCTTTATGGCTTCAATAATAATCCACTAAAATATAAAAAGACAATTTCCCTTTTCTCCTAAGAGCAAAATCATACACAAATTTCTGATGAAATATAATCCTGTTACTGTAAGAGTAACAGCAAGCATAACAGTTTTACAATTTGTTGCATTCTACTCTCCTCATTAAATAAAAACAGTATTTTGCCAGCAAAACGGACATAACATTTTGCTCAGAGTGCTAGCTACCACAACAAAAGCAGCAGATACTTTCAAAATATCACAACTATACACAGTCACATATGTAGTTTCATATTTATTAACCAATATGTAAAATACTAAGCATTTTTAGACATCATTTTTGCAAAAGCTCCATTGTCTACTTTTGTTGACAGTTTTCTGGAAGGAAATGCAACAAATAAAAGGGTGAATCCACAGATAAGAGGCAAAATTTCAAATTAAGAATATGGATCATCTCTATAAACTGTTGTTACTTTAACTTTAAAAAGAAAGGTCTACAACCTATATTATTCCCAAGTGTTCATATATGATTAAACCACTTCAGCACAATCGTCTCTGGAGAAGAACTTCTAAGGCAATCTGTATTTCAGAAACTCTTAAAGTACCGCCCCAAAACCTAATTCAAGCTGAGGGAATGATTTCAAGTATGAACACATGAATGTGATAGCTTATGTACCCACTGCAAAAATAAAAGATACAGCCACCTATTCAGAGCATGTTCAACTTGAGGCATGGCCTTTCACAGCCCTGCTCTCAATCCTGCAAGACTGGTATCCATCACTTTAATTAGACTACAGCTTAACAGTAGTTGAAATTACACAGAAGATCTTCCACTAATAAAACTTAGTTTTCTTCTTTTGCCAATCCAGACCATATGGGTACTGAGGGATTTGCACAAGGCTAAGAAGTATCAGGTCACCTTCAATGCCTCTAGTGAGAGAAACCCGAAGTGAGAGAGGAACAGGCGTGCTGTCTGGAACTCCTGTGCCGGTGGTGGGGGCTTACACTCCGTGACTGGATCGGGAAAGCTCTTCTTCCGCCACTCCTCTTCACTTTTCTGATCTATGGAAGTCTCAAAAATAATCTGCTGGGCCATGCCATTCCTCAGCTTCTCATGTCGCTCTTCAAGCTGAAAAACATTGCGTGAAATGCTGATTCCACCAAGATCACCAAGATCCACTAAGAAAACAGCTCCATCATTTAGGAAAGCTGTAAGTCACAGATACAGCCACAGCTGCAACTCCACCACCAGGACATTTACTAAAGCACTGTCAACAAGACCTTGCAATGTTACAAAGTGAATGTCTGAACACCCTGTTTGTATGGGAGAGCTGTTGCAAATTTATATATCCAGTATCAGCTACAGCTTCTCCCTTTTAAGTGAACAGAAACTAACACACATTTAGCACTCAGAAACTTTAAAATATTTGAGACACGCACCCCCCTCCTCTGCCTGGAGGTCTCAGAAAAGCCCCTTCCATTTCCCCAGAAGAAGCAACAAAATGCAAGTCACTGCTTCCTAACAATACCAGGCTATTAGGATCTGTAATAAAACATGTGAGCAGTGCCTCCCAAAAGACATATCCAAGGCACTGTCATCTTCCTGGAGAAGTGCAGAGATTTCATTAGTTTGCAGAGGTTATTATTCCATTAATATGAAATTAGTCAAGCTAAAGAGTAAAACTATTTACAGTAAGACATTAGTGTATGATTCATGAATAGACAAAAAGCCCAAGAACAAAATTAAGTCAGAGACTAAGAGTTACTTACTTCCTCAGTCACAATTTCATGTAAGTCAGGAATGCTCAAGTCAGCTTTCACAAACGGGATCTTGTCCACTTCTTCAGGAAAAGGGCGGTGCTTCACACTGTATTTCAATCCAACATCATTTTTAGGAGCTGGTCGAGGTTCTGGTACAAAAGTCTGACAAAGAAGGGGGATAGTTTTTACGTTCAAGGCATCGTACCGCTAGACAATACTTTATTATAATAGATGGAAAACATTCCCTCCCCGCTCACCACCAGAAGTACACTAATCCATTAGTGAGAGGTATCATTAAAAACAGTAAGTACTTTAAACTAAAGACTTATATTAAAAATGTGGCTGTAAATTTTAAAAGAGACACAGTTCTGCCTGTTTTGGTGGCTGCACTCCTGGAACCTATGAACCCTGCTTACCATCTAACCTCTAAGCAGTTGCAAATCCCAATAAAAGTGGCAAGCTTACATGGCAACATCTTATTTTCAGCCCGTTCTAACTGTACTGAGCAAAAGCTACCAACTGTTTGAGAAACCTGCATTTTAACCCTGCTGACTACGATGATCACAAGTCAAGCTGAGAAGTCCTAGAACAGAACAGCAGCAATGCTGGGGTCAGGAGTGAGATGCATTGCTAGAATATCAAAAGGGCTTGCATAATGTATTGTAATGTAGTAACAACATCAAAATTGCATTATGTTCTAAACTGTTAGTATGTAATTCAAAACTTGAAGTTACCAATGAAAGCAACAAAAGATCTAGGTGCAGTTTTGCAGGTGCACAAGGTCCAAGCAAGCAAGACCTTTAATTACATCTTGAGTGCTGCTTTATTATTTTCTTTACTACCAATTACGCTTCAAAAGGGCAAAACTGTTAACATTAAAGTTTCAGAATGCCTTTAAGTTGGAAAAGATCCCTTAAAACTGGTAAGGTGGTCAGCAGCCAGGACATGACTTCTCCTTTGGTGTGGGAGGTAGCACACTTGGACTGACAATATTTAGCGAAATGGCTCATCTTCAGTGAGAGCAGAGCTCCAAATGCATCACACAGAGGGTCTTCCCGAAGGCTGCTTTGCAGAGACCAGATTCATCTAAATGTGAACATGACAGCTGAGACTGACAGGCCCTCATTTCAGCTACATTATTATTATTTACTTTACTGAGGGGCATGTGAAGATTTGGAGAAGTTCACAAACACACAGAAATTTTGATAACAGAAGGACATGCTCCACCAAGCAACTGCAATAGATTTTACTGTAAAATGAGATTGGGGTATTTCTCCTCCACTATTCCTCTCCAGAGCTGTTCCAGAGTTCATCTAGACAAGTTTTTTTCACAGCAGATTTACAGCCATCTTTGCAACATTGGGCTTTGTAGTTTGAACAGCTGTTCTCTCTTGCAGCATCTCATTCTACACCTCCAGACTTTGCTCCCTCTGCTGCAAGTGCCTGACATCCTAAAATCAGCACCAACACTCATGCTTACACACTGTCCATTGCCCCATCACCTCAGAAGTGCTTTCAGAACAAAAGGATAACACCCCTTCCCCTTAAACAAGTCTAGAAGGCAACAGCACTTTCACAGCCTGTATTTAACATTAATCACAAGTCATAAAGAGTCACCAGAGATGTATCACATTACCTACAGCTAAAGGCCCCGTGGCTCAGCCTTAATGTATAATCACCAGCTCTGTGGGGCTGTCTCACATTAGTGGAATTTCTGCTGAACATCTCTAAGTTAAAGATTTCTTTATGGGCTTTGATAGAGACCTTTTGATTTGCTTTAGCTCCTCTTGGTAAAAGACAGAGTTGCTGGGCCCATGCAAATCTTCCAGATGTCCCACGGATCAAAACCGTGACAGAGGGAAAAGAGTCATCTGCAAAGTACATGGGTTAAAGAATAATACATCATCATAAATTGCAAACAGTTCACTGTGCCATAATTTAACCAGGAAGAAACAGAGGCATGATGACAGATGTTTTGTTTTCAAGGTTAACTCCACCCTAACCCTGAAGACAATTCCTGGCGAGGAGCAAGCCAGCTCCCCACAATCATCCACTTCAGTGATTTGCCTCAAAAGTGATTTGCCATACTTGTGCATTACTGCAATTAATCTCGTAATTCAAAGGGGATTTGTAAGGAAGTTATGCGCAGCAAGAAAAGATAATCTAATTTGAGATTCTAATAGCTTTACAGGATTCCTCAGTAATGCATTTAGTAGAGGCAAAGTAAGGATTGAGAATTGCTCAGCTGTTCTAGCATGCTCTAACCCATTCTAGTCAGGAACATGCTTGCTCAGACACAGACTGTGAGTAGACGTGCAGTAATAGCTCCCAGCATCAGCTCTTTCTGCAAGATCTATTTAGTGATTCTCAGTGAGGTTGGAGCACTCTGGACCATAACTCAAAGTAACAACTTCACGAACAATAACAGTTCATGAAGTTCTGTGCAATCTCTATGAGGTTGGAGCACTCTGGACCACAACTCAAAGTAACAACTTCACGAACAGTAACAGTTCATGAAGTTCTGTGCAATCTCTGTTTTCAAGACTAGTATCTAGACTCCATCCTGTCCATAGATGAGGAAAATATATCTGTGGCAGATCAGCAGATCTAACATACATTAGTCTTAAACTGAAGTAGCATATAAGAGAATTTTCATCTATTCTGTTAGGTAACGCCATGATACGTGAAGACTTATAGGGGGATCAGTTATTCAGTTCAAAGCATCATGTAATTTAATACCAAGATTTTTTTCAATATAAATTCTTGTTGGTCAAAGCATATGAGGCTGAAACGAGTTAGATTCAGCTGTGAAAGCCAATACCCTGTGATAGATCTCCTTTACAGTAGGTGTCATTGATAGAATAGGATGGTACACGGGAAAGTTATAACAGCTCCTAAGCAACCAAAATCACTTAAGCTGAAAGCACCCACAGAAGCATTTAGTAACAGGAGACCTAAAACAAGCAAAAAGCAAAAGCAACTGTGCAAGCATAAAGGTGTCACATCAACTATTTGTTGAGCACTTATCCCTATCAAGCCTCCTATACGCTTTATATTTTCATTCTTTTATGAACAAGGATGTTTTCAAAATGTAATGATCTTGCTTTTGTCCATCAGCAATAATTTAGATGGCAGTCAGCTGCAAGTATCCGATCTAACTGGGTGAAAGATACAGAGACAACTGCAGGAATAATTTGGATGGGCTTTTACATGTTTGACTATCAGTGGCATTAAAGTTATTGCCACCACTTCATCCCAGAACAACACTCTGCTCAATCGCACACCCACAGAACAGGTAAGCCCCTGAAATGTGAGAGAGACACTTGATGAAGCGGCTTTGTTTTGCAGCTCTATACAGAGAGTTTTAACCAGAGGAAGAAGGGAATGGGAAATATGAACTTACTCTGTTCATTCCCTAGAGGCTGCTCCAACATCGCCAGGATGACACTATTATCCAAAACGAAGTAACGGAAGCTATGCTTGTTTATGGTAGGTAGGCGAGAATATTTAATTAATGTGGTTTCATTCACCAAGCTGCAAGGAGAAGCAGGGCCACTGGGAGAAGGAAATGCTCCAAGTAACTGCATAATACTGCAAATGAGAAAAAAGTTAAGAGTTATGACAGATTAAGATGACGAACTGTTCCACCCAAGCACAGACCTCAACTCATATTCTTCATTTGTATCTTGACATAGCAGTTACCCTATCAGGGCAAGCCTGCCCTCTCCCATCAGCTTGTTTTAAAACAGAACCAGTAACTTCAGAAAAACATGCATGAAAACCTACAAAGAAGGGTACTCTGCCTACAGAGTAAGTTTCTTTATAACCTAGGTTATAAAGGATTAGGTTATAAGGATATTACGTTGTAAGGATATTAAGATATGCTTTAAAGCACGAAAATCTGTACCCTTCCACAGCTTTTTTAACGTTCATTCTTATAAGAAGATTACGGATGATTAGAGATAATCATCCGTCCTTTAGTCCACTCTTATATCAACAAGCAAGGCAGATGTGGTAGATGCACTAGTTATGATTGTCTTTGCTTTCTTCAAATACAGATTACATTAAGTTAAAATCCTTTAAGAAGGACCCAGGATCACACAAGCATGACCACCATAGATGGTAACCTTCCCTGGGAGAAAGCCTCTAGGTGTGGTCCAGCAGTGCGTACCTCCTTGGAGCCACAGCCTTGGGAGGCTCCTAGAAGTACTGATTTAAATCATCTGAAGTTGTACGGGATCTATCTAATACTATTAGAAATTGAAAATTTCTATGGCAGGAACCAGTAACGAGAGTTGTCCAGCATCAGATTGAAGATGATATGATCTAACTCATGACTTAACTCTTAACACCACCACCCAGACCAAAAGTAAGTTTATTGAAGTCCTCCCCACACACTTTTCCACTTTACTCTGAGAACAGATAGTTTCATCTCTCTAAATGAAAAGAGACACTTTTAGGCAACAATAAAGGTTTGTCCACAAGTTCCAATGAGTAGTTGTTTTTACCTTGGAAATTACACAGTTTTTACTAACAGTAAAGTTTATAACAATTTTATTGCAAAGAGCAAAAAAGAAAGCAGCTGTTGCCTTTTGCAAAACATATTTATCCTAATCATCCTCAATCTGTCCTAGGATTGTGGGAGATAGAGGGAACTGCTGTCTGCAGAGAGGACTGACCAAGAACAGAATACCAGGGGCTACAGGAGGGCTTGGGTTTTGCTCTCAAGGAAGAGAACAGGTAGGAGGGGAAGACAACAATCACAGGGATTCTTTTTTCTGTGGAACACTTGTAATGGAAGGGGAAAGACAGCTAAGCAGAGCACAGGACAACCCTGCCCAAAGGGCAAAACAGAGGGAGCTTCTGGCTGACTTTTCAGATGCTCTTGCTACATCACAGATCTCACCATCTGGGAAGAACTCCTAATTAAAAACACTCTCAAACGAGGCAATGCTAAACAGTAAACATGCTCTGACAAATTACATACCACGTTAGTGTAGCTTCAGCAGCATCCTTCACTCTCATGGATGCAGGGTTTGGCTCCTTATCTCCTTTGTACTTGACCTCTTGTTCACTGTTTTTGGATTTACTTCCTGAAATGCCCAGCTCCACAATCTCCAGCACCTCTTTTAAACAATCCTAAAACAGAAGAGGAACCACTTTAAAGCAGAAGCACTCCGATAAATGTCTCCAAGACCTCAGTGAAACAGTGATGTACCATCAATTAAAATAAAATACTGCTGTAATATGAGCACAGAAATAAAAGCAGAAGATTATTCTAACAGACAGTCTTGGCACAAGATCATATTTGATATAGGAATGATATTTTCTCCATCTATAGATGTCTACTTATATTTGTATTCTAATGGTAAAAAGTGCTCTGAATGAATATATACACACAATATATTCCATTATATATCTACAAAATTGCCAAGAGGACTACTAAGAGTGCAACTGAAAAATGTAAACATACTTAAAGAGATAATAAATGCATTTCTGAGACTCTCTGCAGAACTTTTAATTAAGTTCTAAGCACATTAAGAATGAACTCATCTGGAAAATTGCAAGAAATCCTTTTCCAAATCTTTCAATTACCAACAGCTTTCACAAGTACAATATATCATGCTATCTAATTCATCAAGAGAACAACAACAATATTCTAAAAGTACACAGCAAAGCTTCAGCAAATCTATTACAAGAGAGGCCAACACTCGGTAGAACTGCAGGTATGACTCACAAGTGTTGCTCATTACAAAATCGCTTGCTGAAAATATTTGGATTGCTACAACAAAAGTTGAAATCTCATGGCTTGAGCTATAGAATAACAAGGAAAGTGTTCTTATGAATAAATAACTGGCTAAAATCTGAACACAAGTAAGTAGTTAGTTTTTACCACCAGAGACCAGGCAGGGTTCTATGCCTTGGCCTGTGTCCCTCCTTACATTCATAACTGATGTAGAAAAAGAGGTGAAGAGGAAGATTAAAGTTTTCTGACAGAGCAAAATTAATCAGCAAAGACTGGCTATGAAGAATGACAGAAGGAGTATACAGAGTTAGCTAGTAAAATAGCAGGTGAAATTCAAAGCAAATATAAGGTGAGGCACCTGGAAAATTGCAATTCTAACACTTGCAAATACAATGAAAGGTTCCCATCTGACTATCATGATTCAGAAATGAGCTAAGTGTCCAGTATATACTATACACAGTATGTAGCTGTAACTCAATATGCAGTGATAATTAAAATCAAAAAAGAACCTAATGAAAGAAAATAAAGCATTATGCAACTGAATAAACCCATGCTGTGCCAGGAAATCCAGGGAAACGATCCTCTCCTAGTCACATACTGCCATGCCAGTATCCCAAAGTGCATGCAGAAAGCATCTTTATTTAAAGTCCTGCTTGTGGGTTTTAAATTTTCATTTTTTTAAATATACTTATTTTTATATATGCTATAGAATATATAAAC